CTTCTTAAACATTTTAAAAACCTTATTTACTTTACATACAACAATAGTTTAGTTATATATTATAGGCTTCTAGAAAGAGACCTTCTAAAAACGTTAAAATGTATTACTGGCATGCGAAATCTTAAATTAGAGTGAATAAATGAAGACTCGGCACCCCACTTCTGAAAGGTTGCTGACCTCTGTTCTATCCAATACCTGCATTGTCTTTCAGCTCCTCTGAGTGCAGCTCCTCGCTAAGTGAGGTTGCATTTGTTGTTGCTGCTGTACTTTCCTGCTGCATCTCTTCTGAGGTAAGTGCCTGGCATACGGGGGATGAAGGGTCACTCTGCATTGATCTGGTGGCACCATCAGCAGCGCATGCTTTGCCTCCAGCATCTAAAACACAACATCACTTAATCTTAATTAAGTCATCAGCTGCAAAAGTGAAAACATCCTGCCATTCTCATTCATTAGCGTATGCACAGATAGCCTATCACTTATCCTGCAGCGTTCCTTGCAAGAGCTCACTTTGGCAGCATCTGTCATTTTCAGAGGTGCTGAGTGCCTGCAGCTCCCACTGACATCAGCAGGCCTTGTAGGTGCTCAGCACCTCTGAAGATCAGGCCACTGATATTTGGGTGCCTCAGTGTGCATTTAGGGGCTCCATTTTAGACACCCAACTTTCCAAATGTTGGGGCACAACTGAAATCCAAACCTCTCTTGACATAGGGTCAGATTCTGATACTCTTCCACTGAGGAGTGATGCCAATAATCCCATCAGCTGTAAGAATTCTGACACCGTTTTAGCTTCTTAAGTATTTTCCAACCCAGGGAACATTCCTCAGTGGGAATACAAACTATGCTGTCTCTCACTTCCCTGATCCTCTCTCACCAATTACAGGCTCAACACCACCATTGCAAAATCAACCAATTACTCCCAGTTTGAGCCAGCTCTCTCCAATGATGTGTGTGTACACGGTCCACCTCTGACCAGATAACTTATATTTCTCAGTCCTAGACGCTCCTCATTAGAAGTTCATGACAAGGCTGTCTTCTCCTTTTGTAATGATTTCATTACAAGTTTCTTAAACAGTGATTTAAAGGAGTTAAACATTCACAGACCACTTTTTATTTTTTAATATGGAGACCATTTGCAGAGTATGTTACTGCTCATTTGAGTGAGGGTATCAGAAGTCAGCCTACAAATGCTGCAGAGCTAATGCAATATTTTTATAGGCTGAGCTCATCCAATCTGCCTCATAATCACGTTTGGTGAAAAGTTACTGTTCTTAAAATAGCCCCTGCAGTAGCACAGTTGCTATGATACAAGGAAAGGGGGGGGAAAAGTTCATTGCCTATGTTTCAGCTGATCGTGAAGCCAGCCTATACATAATCACTGGCATATTAACAGCTGTCTGCACTATTTGTAAGACAGAGCTTTTCTTCCAGGGCTATAAAACATTTTACATTTGATCAAATCTACGCTTCACAGCTAAAAGGGGAAAAACTCCATAAATGTTTCCCAGGAGCAGAATGGGCGGCTCTGCTTTGTAAGTGCCCTGTGTTCTCCAAGAGATAGCTGCTGCTTTGGCAAGCCACCAAATGCTGCGCCACAACAATAAAGATACCGAGACAGAATGTTAGCTCCTTTAAATCACTGCCTAAGAAAACTGTAACGACTCATGAAATAAGCAGAAGCCAGCCCTGTCAATGACCTTCTAATGAGGAGTGTCTAGGGGCTGGTCTACACTGCCGCGCTAGTTCGGCGGCTGGGGATCGAACTTCCTGGTTCGATTTATCGCGTCTGGTCTGGACGCGATAACTCGAACCAGGAAGTGATCCCCCGTCGACTGTGGTACTCCAGCTCAAAGAGAGGAGTACCGCGGAGTCGACGGGGAGCCTGCCTGCCGCGTGTGGACCGCGTCTGAACCGCGGTAAGTTCGAAGTAAGGTATGTCGAATTCAGCTACGTTATTCACGTAGCTGAATTTGCGTACCTTACTTCGACTTGGGGGGTAAGTGTAGACCAAGCCTAGGACTGAGAACTATGAGGTCCCTGGTCAGAGGTGGACACCACATCCTCAGAGCACTGTTGAGATGTGGCCGGAGCTGGAAGGAAGTGCATTGATTTGCAGGGGTGATATTGACCCCATAGATTTTTGAGCGAGGGTGGGGGAAGAGGGTAACTTTATACCCACAGGTGAGGAAAACACAAGAGAATCTACACCGTCAGAACGCCACGGAAAATGATCTCAGGAAGAAGCAATGCTCTTCCATGCTGGAGTAATCAGCCCACTACAGAGCAATGCAGTCAAGGAACAAGCCTTATCATTAACTTGCTCCTGCCCCCTAGAAGCCCTGGAGTGCATGTGCATCTCCCAGTGATGAAGGAAAGCCTCAGAAGTGGCACAGGTCAGGCAGAGTTAACAGGAGACAGCAACCCATGGTAATGAAAGCCGCTGCATCATTTCCAGTAGTGCCCACTGGTGTCAACATGGGCTACGCTGTCCCTAGCCTGTACTCAGCCATGCCGGGGAGGAAAGGGGAGTGAGGCTGCGCACATTGTGGCACCAGCCATGGGATGGGGTGAGCAGGGGTTCCTTGCTGGCTATTCCCCTCTAAGCATAAGTGGGCCTTGGCTGTGGCCAGAAGTAGGAGGAGAGTAAACTGTCCTTTGAGAAGGCGGGTGGTAACTTACCACCTGTCCGCAAAGTGAGGCAGGCACAGGAGAGGAACTGCTCTGATGGATAGTTCCTCCCTGGGCTGCTCTTGAGTTGAAGCAGCTCCTGCTCCAGACCTTACCCAGAGCTGGGCCGAACGGCCCTGCTAGGGATGCTGCACGGTTTCTGCAGCCTGGTGTAGTGCTGTACGTGACTTAGCAGAGGGGCACACTGTACCGATGGAATGTGTCGCTGCTGCTGGAAAGATGTGAGGGCGGGTTAGCAGGTTTCTCAGACTTGATCTCCATCTCTCACTGTTTGGATTACTTTACTGATGTGAGCAGGTACCGGGATGGGGTGGTAGGCACCTAAATACCTTTGTGAATCCCTCCCCAGACGTTCAGCATGAGAGCAGAGTCCCAGAGTGAAACCCAGGATTTAGAGATTTACTGTGGTGTGCTTAGCACAGTGCTGCTGCTCTGACAATTGCAGTTGATTGCAGTGAGTGTCCATTAAAAAAAGGATTGAATCTGAAAAGATTAGAATGCAACTGCCACAGCATTATCGTAGTCTGAGTAGGCTTCTCATCCGTTATTAAAAGAGATTCTGGGCAATTTTTAACAGCAGTTAATAAACTGCATATGTTAATAAAGCCATAAAATAGCCTCTGAGATTCAAAACCTCCGTGGTGTTGGAAGGAAATAACATGGAGCATATTATATTGTCCTTTGGTTGCCCATAACTCTCACTCTCCCGTCTAGACAATTGTGTGGCATTGTAAATTTGCCTGATGGTTTTATAGGCTCCATGTAACTGTGACCCAGAGAAATAAAAATAAAAAAGGGGGGGGGGGTGTGTGTGGGGAAATACCCAGCCAGTCCATTTCCAACTGACCTTTAAAAACCCCATTTCCATTGGTCGCTGTTTATTAAACTAGGCTTATCTGCTTTTTGCTAAAATTATTTTAATACATAGCCTCCATTCAACCAGGTCTCAGTGAAGTGAAAAGCTGATCCAATCCTACTGCTATTGACTTTGATGTGCTCTATATCACTTGTCTGTACTGCTCTCTTAAAAACCCATAACTTCCCGTGTCTTCAAATTCAGAGATCACTGAAAACCATGGAGACAAGCCCTGAGAAGTCTACTAGATATACATACACACGTACGTGTGTGAGTGTACACACATACATGCACACACCCCTAGTAGATTTCTCAGGGCTTGGCTGAGGTGGGGTAATGCGCTGCACAGGTGTAATTTTGAAAGCGCACTAATGTGTTGCACATTAATTGGTCAGTGTAAATCCTGCTGCTGCACTTTAACGAACTGTATGAAAGTGCTCAGTACTACTTGAAAGCGCACTAGGGAACCTTTCGTGCACACCTGTGGAGTCGACACGGAACAATTAATGTGCAATATGTCAGTGTGCTTTAGAAATCAGAGCCCCGTAAAGCACATTACCCCACCATGTAGAGAAGCCCTCCGACTTAGATTTATCTATCTAGTAGTACCAATATACTACCAGATCAAATCTTGGTCTAGAATAAAGAGCAAAAGAGTTCAATGAAAAACTCCTCATATTTAACAGCCAAAATTATGAAAAAACTTCTATTTTAAAGTAAGTTGGCCACGTAGGTTTATAGCTTGTACTTAAGAATCATACATATAGCTTTTCTGCAGTTATGACAGGTTTCTCTGTTTAAAATGCTCACTTTCTGTTCAGTTACTCTCCATCACAGCCTCATCAAGTGTCATTCTGAGAGTTATTTATAGATTTGGAATTTTGTTTTAAACGAGGCAATATAATTATTGCTCCTATTAGTTTCAATAAAATATTCCACCTCTCCAATTGGACTGACTCAGGCGGCCCCTCTTCCCTCATAACACCATCTGTTACAAAGTTCTCCGCCTCAAGGGGGAAAGGCCCTTTTTTTTTTTTTAAGCTATCTTTAGAAAAAAAATGGCTGTCAGAAGTTGGGTCTGTGATGCTGGGAACACACCAAACCTGGTAGAATGCTAAACTCTCTCAGGAACAGGTCTTTTGTTCATTTAGAAGCATCTGTTTGATGAGCAACATACAGAATTACAAACGTTCCTGCATATCTATGGCAAGTTATCTTGCATTTAATCATTGCTTCACACTTGTTTTGTATTCAGGTAAGCTTGTAAAAATAACAGTACTAAATGCCTCACTCCTCTGTAGGAATGAAGAACTCATATAATTAGAATACACCTTGTACTAAACTTGATTTGCCAGAAAGACAGCAGAAAATATGGATTAATATCACTCTGAGATCTGAATTCATGGATTGTACTTGCTAGCTTCATTACTGAATACTTCTGTGTAGCTGAGTTCATATTCATATAAGCTTTACTGAGTTTCTTGGCAATCTGAGCAGAAGGGCTTATGGCAATTGCACAAAATATGGTTGAATTCATGTCTTGTGTAAATCCCCTGACAGTGGAATGCCACCTAAGATGGAGTTACACCATAAACCACACTGGATATGTTGAGTGACACCAGGTATGAAACTGATCCAATGACTGTTCAAACTGGTCACTGTTTTTTTTTCTGACTGTGGGTTCTTATCATTTCTTGCCATCACATGTGTCCAGCCCTCATGTGAAGGACAACAATAAAAAATGAAGACGGGGTTTACTTGCCTTGTTCCATCATCTCCAGAAGACCTTTCTTAATGAGTTCATCCCGACCTGGCCTTGCAGTAATCTTCTTCTCTAACACTGCAGAAAGTGATAGCATAACATAGAAAATCAGAGCAAACAATGGATGGAAGTAGACACATAAGACAACTCAATACGAAAGCTGCCACAGGTGGGTGCTCTCTAGTCCCACATGTAGTGAGCTGACCAGAGGAGGACTACACAGTTGGAGTTTTAGGGGCAAGTGTGGTTTGTGACCAGCTGGCCAGTTCAGTGTGTTTTCATTGCTAGAGCAGTGGTAGTATTGCTAGCCAAGGTGCAGGATGCTGAAAAGATCAAAGCTTCCAAAAGGGGTTTGAACAATCATGTTCAGATCCAAAGTCCAAGAGTGTTGCAGACGGGGTCTTTGATTGGACTCATTACACATAGGTGCCAGCTGTCTGGTTTTCAGTCTAAACTTTCCCCAAATTTGGGAAATGTTCAGGTCCTGGTTTGGGTTCAGACCTCCCTGTACAAAGCAGTAGGAAAAAAAAAAAGTTAATGCGTGTGACTGATTTGCAGGGGCAAGACAATGAAACCATCCCCACCAAGCTTTCTTGCCCACTAACCATTGTGTGCCTCTCTTGAACCATGTATTTTGTATTATTTGTTGACTATATTATTGCACCTGACTGATCTTCATCCACAAGGCTGAGGCCTTTATGCGCCCTCCTTGCTTAGGAATTTGTCTAGTAAATCACCAGCTAATTCCATTCACAGAATGAAAAAAGGGGGTTTCCAATCTCTCTCTTCCATTTTCCTATATCTCTAACTACCTTCCATTCTGTGAATCAGCCCCTTCTATGTATCAGAGGAATTTGCCAAGTTTAAGAGAGGAGTGGATCTGATTTAACTCAGTGTTTCCTTTTCTAGATTTATCAGAGAAATGCAGCTGCATGGTGTTGAGAATGGTGGCAATATAACTGTGTCCTCTCTCTTGATAACACTTTAGCTTCCACAGTCAGGGGCAAGTCCTGCACTCATGCTCTTTGGCAGAAGAAGAAGAGCCCTCATGCAATGGAACTGGAATGGTTCTGAGTACACACTCTGGGAAGAGGGATGCTGGGAGCCCACACAGGGAGTGTGCAACATTTCACACCAGGGATTCATGCTCCCGAGTCCCCAGAGAAGAGCCTCCCTGTGTCTTAGAGTAGAAAGTTATTTCAGGGGATGAGTCAAAGGCTGGCAAATGGATTCAAGGCTAACAAGATGCAGCAGTCATTCCTACCAAGGAGCAGGGATGCACAACATGTGGTAGGTACTATACTCTCGATGGTGCAGTAGCAAGCATGGAGCAGCCTTGCAGAGTGTGTTCCTTCTCACATGATCCCCACAGAGCACCCATGTGCCCAGCCAGTTTGCATCAGCCCACGCACAGGTACAAGGAGTCACTCCTTAGAATCTCAGGAAAAGACAAGTGACTCTTGTTTCTGAGTGCTGTACTCTGCGGGTGTCTTCAGAGATTTGAGAGAGTAGACACTCTCCCTCACACTGTGGTCTGCTGGGCATATTTTTAACACGGTGGCTGACGTTTTCAGGAAGGAATGTTTACATTCTGTAGAGTGTTCTGGTTAAGAGTCGAGCCCTACCAGTCAGAGTAGCTCCCTCTTGTCGTTTTCCATAATGTCAGCGTGACCCCCCATCTCTCCCCCAAAAAAGGTAGAACAATACATGGAGTCGTGTTTCTAGCAACTGTTCTCATGCACAGAAAGTCCCCAAGGAGTGAAATGATGACTGCAAACTTCATTTAAGTTTGCACGTTACAGAGAAGACACCCAGTTGTAGTTTGACTGCCACTGAACTTACTGAATTAGTTGTATCAAGAATTGCTAGGATTCATTTCTATGCCCTGTTGGTAATAAACTAAAGGTGTCTGGGTCAAAAGATGATCTTGGTGTTTTGCTTTGGCTGAAACAGGAAAACTGTGTTTTCTCTTTCTGATCATAACATTCATTTTCCATTATATCTGTCACCGGTGACTAATACAGTTGAATAATATGCTATGTTTAGACTTCCTGATAAATTCCCTGCCCAAAAACAAGAATTTAAAAATAAGTTTTTAAATACCATATACATGTACAAAAATCCATGTTTAGAAAATTGAAAAAATCACCACCAGCAACCAGAAACCTCAATTATGTGGTGTATGGCTACCATTTAGATGCAAAGCTTTGGGAGATGTCACTAAGCTACAAGAAGTAGAGCTGGTCATATACTATTACTCAGAGTCATTATTTAATGCATTTTAATATTTTTTAAGTAATTTATCTGAGTAATCCATTTTTCTCAGTATTTAACCTAGTGTTCTTGTTTTTATTATTGAATTCTGAATGCAAGGGGCCAGATTAGTACCACCATATAGCCACAGAGCTGTCGCAGTGTAAGCTTCCTCACACTGACCCTCTGATGTGCATTAAGCCTGAGCTGGAGAATGTATCTCTTGGAAGTACTTGAGCTCATGTTAGTCCATCACCTCTCTGCTAAGTGCCAACACAGGGATCAGTTATGAAGTTGTGGACCTGGATTGATACCATTGACTGACTTATTTCACAAAGGCCACTAAGAGCCCATCAGCTGGTTTTTACTTTGAGACACATCTGACGAGGGGCTAATTCCAAGTACTCATGGAAGGTTCTCTTAGCCTTTCTGGGGATTTTAGGTAGATTGGAAGAAATAGTAATGAAATCCCTTCTGCACTTGGCTTTACCAGAAGGGCCAGAGTTTGATACCCTCACTCATTTTCAGTAGCACCTAACTCCACGCGTGGTCCTCTGACTTCAATATCGAAGGTACTATTCAACGTAAGGTATCCCAGTCCAGCCTTTAAATTAGCAGCCGCTGCTCATGCTGCGGCATCTTCGTCCCTTACAAAGATCAGTGAAGGGCAGAAGCGGGGAGGTGAGACGGTAGACAGCCTCATAAATCAAGTTTGGGATTTTGCTCTTTGCTGACTGGATTGGTAGAAATCCTGTGGCCAAGAGGTCAAATCATAATGGTTCCATCTGACCTTAAAATGTCTGACTCTATGACAGGCCAGATTCTTACACTTCCATTTAGAAACAGCTTATCAATAACCTGCCCTACTTCAGCAACCTCTGCTCATTTTTCTTCACAGGGTGGACTTTGCCTTGCACTGAATCAAGCTGTTGTTCTTCCCATACCTGCTGAGGTTTGCTTTAGTTTCTCGTTTTTCTTTTTCCTCCACTTCCATGGTTTGAAGATCCTGCCCAACGTTGCTAGCTTGCTGTTCCTTCTCACAGGCGGAGTTCTAATCCCTGAGACCAGATATTCAGAATGCATTGCAGGGGACTGCTCCATCTCATCTGAGAGGCAAAAACAGAACAAAGCTGCTGGTTAAAAGAAAATAAGACCAAGTGTTTCAGAAGAGGCTTAGTCAGGCGGGGGGAAGTATGGTGGTCATTCCAGCTAAAAGAGCATTCGGTTTAGTCACCCAGCAATGTAGTGCAAGACAGGGAAATGAAGTCATTGGAGTCCTTAAAATAGGGGCAGCAGATCCACGGATGCTGAGCAGGGTATGTGCCAGCATAGCTTTTTGTACTGCAGGGGGGACCTTTCTTGGCTTTGTATCTCACCCATCACCACTGACTCCAAGCACCTGATATCTGAGTGACTCTCTTGCGGCCCCCTTCAAGGAGTCCATCGGGGGCTAGTTCCATGGAGTTTATGAGCTCCGGTGGAGGAGATGTACTGAATTTGTGCATCCCCAGTCTGCCCTGGCCATGCTCCCATCTTGGCCAGTGATGCTCATTTTTTGGCGTGATTCCCTACAGCCCTCCCCCCTGCCCATGGGAGGTGTTGGCCTCGTCAGTCCCCTTCCCTCCACAACAGACTATCTCCTGCTTCCTCAATGAGAGCATCCTCTGCCAGGCTCTTACTCCAACAAAAGCACCTGTGTGAGAGAGGGGGAGGCTGTAGCTTTAAATGTTATGTTGGACTTGGGAGCTCACTTTCTTCCTTGGCCTATGCAGGGATCAAACTGGAAGTGAAATGAAAGGGAGCCTCGTGCTAGCAAACCACAAGAATTGTTAGTCACAGGCTGAATTAGTGAGTAAGGATGGCCCAAAGGGTGGGACACTACCCCGTAACACACGAGACAGAGATTCAGTTTCCTGCTCTGTCACGTTTCCAGTGTGAGATTGGGCAAGTCACTTTCTCTCTGTGCTTGTTACCACTGCAGATGATAGCACTTCTCTACCTCACATGGGGGATTGTGTGGAATAAGTGCTCAAATGTTAGTGTAATGAGGGCCACATAAGTACCCGAGGTTGGTAGACCATAATAAGAAGTGCTGCAACAACAACACCTAACACTTACACAGCTCTTTCCAGCTTTAAAGTGGTTTATAAAAAATGATTAATTTACACCACGCCTGTGTGGTAGGTGAGTGTTAGTTCCATTCTACCAGTGCGGAAATCGAGGCACAGAAAGGTTAAAAGAGACATTTTTACAAGTGACCATTGATTTTTGGGTGCCCAACATGAGCCACCTTGGGACTGACTTTCAGAGGTGCTGAGCAACTGCAGCTCCTAATGACTTCAGCAGACATGCTGGATATGCAGCACTTTTGTGTGAATCAGGCCCACGTGGTCTCAAGTGAAGCACCTAAAACCATTGGCCATTTTGGAATATTTAGGTCTAAGAGGCGGCTTGCTGAAAGTCAGAGAGGGAGTAAGGGTACATCCAGACTACCCGCCGTATCGGCGGGTAGTGATCGGTTTATCGGGGATCGATATATTGCGTCTCGTTAAGACGCGATATATTGATCCCCGAACGCACTCCCCGTCGACTCCGGAACTCCACCGGAGCGAACGGCGGTAGCAGAGTTGACAGGGGAGCCACGGCCGTCGATCCCGCGCCATGAGGACCCAAGGTAAATTGATCTAAGATACTTCGACTTCAGCTATACTATTCACGTAGCTGAAGTTGCGTATCTTAGATCGATCCCCCCCCCACTAGTGTAGACCAGCCCTTAGTGACAGAGCTAGGATGAGCTCTCAGGAGGGGACTTCCTGGTTCCCAATTCTGTGCTGAAACCACAGGGAGGGACTATCTTTATGCTCTGCGTTTGTACAGTGCCTAGCACAATGGGGTGCTGGACCATGAGTGGGGCTCCTAGGTGCTATGCTCATGCAAATCAATAATTAATTAATTAATAAGATACTCTCCTGAAAATGAACTGTCCTCACATAACTACTATAGCACACATCTGTTTGTATGAACTGGCTCAGATTTTTACGTATGAAGATAGATTGTTTGGCATGTAGTACTTAAGCAAAACCACGAACAGCTATTACACTGATACATTCCTTAAGGAAATTGGGGAAGATGGGAAAATTCTAAGGCATTTCATCCAGCAAAATCACAGGAGCACACAGATAATGCTTCAGGTGGGCAACTGGTTCAGACATTTTCAATATTTTGTCTTCACATGACTGTTTGTTTTGTTTATAGCCAAGCTTCGCATGGAACAATAAAGATTGAATAATGACAGGCTTCTGCCAGCCATTACCATGAAAGATGATAGCACAGCTCCATAAACAAGGATATTGATGACATTGTTGAGATGTGTATTTGGACACCAATATACTAATTCCCAAGAGTGATGCTTTTATCCGTCACCCAGCTATGTCATGAGAGTGCAAATTATAAGACGATTTGCATATCTTTTTCAACAATCCATTGCAATTTAAATGACAGTGTGGAACAATGAGTATATGATCATTTCTTAGCCATTGGTCTCTGGAATAATAAAATGACAATAATTTGCTTTGTGAATAGTGGAGAAAAAAACTAAATATGGTATTTTAATGGTTTTTTTAAAAAAAGTTGACGGTGCAAATACATAAATCTCAGTGTAAAGGTGGGGATTTCCAAGAAAACAGGCAATAATTTTGAAAAAAATATTCAACACAGTAGGGGGAAGAATTCATTCTTCTTTTTCATTTAATTTTGAAAATATTGGTATTAAATATTGATATTGCTGATGAATTTTAAACAGAGAAGTTAAATACTTTGTCACATTAGTTAGCAGAACTGAACAATGGATGTAAAGACACTTTCTTCTGTGTCGTATAAGCACATGAAATAAATAAACCGTTAAAACGCTCAGAACTGCTACATGAGTATGGGCACAATTTGTTCACCTGCCATTAAGGGAGGTTGAGGAGATTGGGTCAAATAGTGCAATTCACACTCTAAGGACTCAGTTTGTGATTCACCTTGTAACTCAGGAGTCATGATCTTGGAGCATGATCAGTGCCACCTGAAACATAGTTACATCATAGCATGAAAATGTAATGGCAGGTAAACTCAGGAGAAAAGAAAAATGTAAAAGCTACTTGATGGAAGCTTTCTCATCTTCCTCAATGTTAAATGGGTTTTCCAGTTTACCACTGCATTGAATGAACACCCTTATTCATCTAGCAGATCAGAAGCAAATAAAATGTTTCTAATAAATAACAGGATTTTTCTCTGTTCCACTATGGAATGTCCCACACCTTGAGATGTTAATTTCTTGTTTCCTTCTTGTTCATTGGGCAAATGTGGTCTACCACTTTTGTGATCACTGGAAGACTGATGAGTCTTTGAGAAAAGAAGACTTCAACTATGTTAAGTGCTGTTACAAAGAGGATAATGATCAATTGTTCTCCATGTTCACTGAAGGTAGGACAAGAAGCAATTGGCTTAATCTGCAACAAGAGAGATTTGGTTAGATATTAGGCAAAACTTTCCAACTATAAGGAGTTAAAGACAGGAATGCATTACCAAAGGAGGTGTTGGAATCCCTATCACTGGAGGTTTTAAGAACAGATTGGACAAACAGCCCCACTAGCTCTGGGGAAGCATGGGTGGAGGTTCAGGCTAGTTGCCCAACTACGTACCCGCTGCCTATGCTACCCTGACTACACTGCTATTTTTAGCATGTTAGCTGGAGCAGAACTCGCGCAGGTATGTGTGTGTGAGCTGGGAATCACCCCCTCACACACACACACACACACACACACACACCCTCAAATGTACATGTAGCCTTAGTCCTGTTTCAGTGCGGGAAGCTGGACTAGATAACCTCTCAAGGTCTCTTCCAGCCCGTAGCGGGATGGTCATCCCGCTCCTGCCCTGAAGGGCATAAAACAGCCCTGGGAGAGGGCTGCAGCGGGGAAAAGCCAGGCTGATTGGGGGAAGCAGCCACAGGTGGGGCCACGCCCCAATCAGGCCACAGCTGGCCCTATAAGAGGGCTGAAGGCCAGCAGCTAAGAGGACACACTCTCTCTCTCTCGCTTTCGAGAGGGAAGGACCTGGCTGCCTGGGAGCTGAGCCGAGTAGCTGAGGTGGAGCAGTGCTGGGGAGCTCCAGCCTAGCAAAACCCCAGGCTGCAGGCCTAGTTAAGGGCCCACAAGGGGTACTAGTGGGGTACCTTAAGTAGAGCAGTGCTGGGGAAGGGCAGAGGGAGCTGGGGAGCTCCAACCTAGCAAAGCCCCAGGCTGCAGGCCGAGTTAAGGGCCCACAAAGGTACTGGGGCTGCAGAGGGGCAGCCCAGAGATAGGCAGAGGCAGCTGGTCCAACCCCCATTGCTGATGATGAGTGGTTTACAGACTGCCGTCTGCCCCAGGGAGCGGGGGCTAGACGATGACTGGCAGTAGCCACTGAGGCAAGGTGGGGATAGGGGGTTGGGGGTTCCTCTGGATGGTGAGACCCAGATTGTGGATTACTGTGGGGGCAGAGCCCTGACATAGAAGGGCACGGGGGTCCAGGAGGGACCTGGGGGGCCAGCGGCAGGCGAGGCATCAGTAGGTAGGGGGCGCTCCGGAGCTGGAAAAGAGCTAATTCCCTGGACAATCAGCAGGAGGCGGCGTGCCAGTGAGTCATCACCCCGCCACACAGCCCTACATTTCTATGATTCTATAAGTCTTATGATTTCACAAGAGCAGGAGTTTGCTCCATTGTCCTTGACTACATTTCTTTCTTTTCTATCCCACTGCCTCTCCAGAGTCTTCCTACTGGCCATATATCAGTTGTGGAGTATATATTTTGTAAAGCGTTTTGTGACTGTTAAGGATGAAATCTGTGGGCCTGATCAGGAACTCTTTAAGGTCAACAGCTAGACTCCATTGACTCCAAACACAATCTTTCTCCTGCATTGCATAGAACATGAGATTCGTTACCCATGAAAGGGCAAAAGAAGATGGTTACATATCTTTTATTTTGTTTCTGTTGATCAGTGTCTGAAAGTGACAGGAGCAAAATGTAGATTCACATTTTTAAACTGATGACCAAACCTTTCTGCCCATGGCACACGTGTGAA